AACACATGCATGTATATATTTAAGAAAAATATGTTATGTTTATAATATATATATATATAATATATGTATATAATATAAATGATACGAATATAAATATATACACGTAAATATTTTCAAAATATATACTGTATGTGTGTGCTTTTATACATACATAATAAATATACACAGTACACACACATATATTATGTAAACAAAAACTTTTGGTTTGGATGCGATTAATCGCAATTAATCATTTGACAGCACTAATATATATATATACTGTATATATATAAATATAGTATATATACGTATATAACATTATTTTTACTATATGCATTAGAAATCCTTGTAATGTTTTACTCCCCCCATAAACCTGCAAACCCAGGCTTTTTTATTAATTAAATTCCTTTGTTATCGGTCGATTCCTTAATATTATTGACCCTGTGTGTCATTCAACTGTTTTATTTTTCTTATAAATATTTAGTTCTACAACAATATTGCTGTTTGTCACCACTTTCAAGTTAGTTATATATGATTCTGTCACCCTATTTGAGTTTTTCATTGTTTTGTATCACAAATCTGTTTAATATTTGTTTAATATATAATCTGATAATTATTCTAAAATATATAATCTAAAATATTATTCCCTTAAATAGCTTCAATGTAATGCCCAGCTTCTTTTTAGTTTTCTATATTAGATAACATTCTTAAAATGGTAGATATGACTAAATTTGAACTACTTCTTTCTACTTCTACTTCTTTTTGGCTACTTCTTATTGCCAAATTATAAGTGAATTATTACATGTCAAATTAGAGTTTGAGAGCTTCCCCAGCGCTTCTGTTGTTGTCATGCTGAAGTGAGTTGGTTATCAGGCAGCTCAGCTCTCGTGTTGATCTGTTCAGGTGACTGTTACCTGATGGAGTGGTCCGACTGGAGCCTGTGTCAGAGTGTGTGTGTGAAGGGCCAGCGTTTGGACTTCACTCCGGTGCAGGTCCGTTCACGTGCGGTCATCGCGCAGGAGCCGGAGAACATCGCTCAGTGCCCCGATCAGGAGTGGCAGACCCGGCCCTGCAGCAGTGAGACACATGCTCCTCCTCTCTCATTGGCATAAAGACTCTGCTTTACTTTGATTTTATTCAACATGAAGAATTTTAAAAATGTAACATTTTATAACACACATTTGTTTTATAGTGGCATCATCTTCACAAAAAAAAGTACACTTGGGCATACTTTTAAAAAGAGTACTTGTTATGGAAATAATATACTTTGTGATGTAATCTTTCAGGATACTTAATTGCATGTTAATTGTAATTACATGATTATAGTTTAAATGTAAGTTAAATGCAATTATTTGAACATAAGAGGTTTTTTGATCCACTTAAGTAGGATCGAAGTATATCTCTGTATGTAATTTCATAATTACTTGAAGCATTTATGCAAAACTAAAATATACTTTAATGTCATTTCTACTGAAATTTGTATGTCATGTATTTAAATATATTTATAATTACACATTTATAATGATGTTGCAATTTAGTACATTGAAAATGTTAACTTTAAATGTAATATCAAAGAACAAGCTACAGTTAAAATTACAATCAAGTACTTTACATGTGCTTTAGTACGTTAGTCAACACATCAAAATAAGTGTATTACTTTAAAGCACAACAAAACAATTCAAACATAAGAATTTAAAACACGTACTGTGTGATATGTAAAATCTGTGCATAAATGTGTTGAGAAATATAGTCATGAAAGTGTACTCTGTAAACGCACTTAAAAGTGCCTTTTATTGCACTAATATTATATTATCTGCAAGTACAGTTTTCAAAAATATACTTTTAAGATTTAAAGTGCACTAGGCCTATAAGTGCACATTCAATACAATTAAGCATACTACTTTTTCACAAGGGCATGTATATATTTATGTGCATGTATTTAAGAATTTTACATGAAATGCAGTTGGATGTCTTCAGCTTGATTTGTTACAAATGCATTCTCTTTTAAAGGGATAGTTCACCCAAAAATGAAAATTGTGTCGTCATTTTGTCTCACTCCACTTGTTGCAAACCTGTTTTTTTCTTCCGTCAAATACAAAAGAAGATATTTTGAAAAATGTTGGCAACCAAACAGTCGACGGTAGCCATAGACTTTCATAGTATTTTTAAATACTATGGAAGTCAATGGCTACCATCAACCATGCACTTGGTTCACATTTTGGTACATTTGAAAAGTTTTGGTACTTTTAAACAAGATTGTATGAAAACACTCTTATCGAGTCTCTCTACAGCTGCCTAAAAGTGTACGGCCGCAGAATGTATATTTACTCTATTGATTTCCATCTAGATGGGGAGTGTTATGAGTACCAGTGGATGGGCAATCCTCAGCTGATCTGGTGTCAGCGCTCGGATGGAATAAACGTCACAGGTGCTGTTCTACACCGCTTCACATCTGTTTCTTTACCTCACATGAATAAGCAGCCAATGAGGAATAACATACCAAAACAAACCATCAGAGCCCCTTTGCTAATGGGTCATTGATGAACAGTTTGTGTTTAATCTTTTAATCAATTTCAAGATTTCAGATTAAAATGTTTATGCATGTACAGTATAAAGCAATGAGTACATCTTAGGTTCTGTTGGTATTTTTATAAGTTTTTTGCCACTTTTAAATGCCTTTTTGCCTTCTCGAGGTCATGTTTAATGGTCCTGTGGTGTGACAAATGAATTTTTGTAGCTTCTGAATAAATGAGCTCATGAAACTGCATGCATAATAATTTAAAAAACAAATTAGCAGAGTTCTCTTTTAAATACAGTGGTTTTAGATGGTGTATATTATCATGACGCACTACAGAACATCGGAGACTATGATACCAGCATCTGCACACAGTATGCAGTATATACTGTAATATGTATATTGTGCAAAAGATGCCATTTTTCTAGCACATATTGTATGTACTTTCTTCCAAGCCGAGTTGTCAAAAGCTTGAAAATGATCTCTACCCTCTTATTTCTTCCAGGTGGATGCCCTCCAGCTCTACTGCCAGGGACGGACCAGTCATGTGATCCACCTTGTGACAAACCACAGTCATTTTGCTCAGAGGTAAGACAAAAGAGGATTGTGGGATTACTACAGTTCTGAGCCTGAGAGTCTGTAACTGCAGACAGTGCTCCAGCTGCAATTATCATAATGAATGCAACAGAAAATCATGGTCATAAGCGGTACTTTTGTTTTTATTTTTGGATGCAATTGATCTATATTTCTGAAGCATGCTCAATTAGCTTTTTTATGTGTTTGCAAGACCCATTTTTAATCATTTTAAGAAAAGAATAAGTGCATACGAAGTCTTAGCTGTACAAATACTTCTAGTCGATTTTTGGAAAATTTTACCCACAATCCCTTGCACATTAACAAAAAAATGTGTGAATGTTCTCTTTTCTCTAGGGATGGGTGATAA